TGCCAAATGATGGAGGCACTGCAAAACTTGGAAGAACACCTTCACAAAGGGTTCTTCCTCCTTATGAATTCCAAATCTAGACCAAAAATTACTTAAAAATAGGCATGCAAAAATCCCAAAAGGGAGAGAGAAAGAAAATTTCTAAAAATAGCCTAGCATAAAATGTTTTAGTGGAGTGAGTCCAAAATACTGAAATAATCATGAACATAACGCTTACGACAATATCATTCATAATTATCTCCCTTGTCTCTGAAAATTTCGTGCGAACGTCATTAACCACGAAATGGAATGAAATGACATGAATGGAGATTCAAGTCCTACTTTTCTGCATCATGTGGGCTACTAATGACGGGCAACGCTACGCAGGTTGCGATGGGGGAAATTTTGTTAGGACAGTGGCATTAGCCTGCTCTTTTCCGATTTCCACCTGTCAAGGGATCTGTAGCACACGGGCCTCGGTTCATTTCCCATCCGAACGACTAGACATTTTTCCATGTCAACCCCTCTTACCTGCATCGCTGACAGGGGGGACCGGGTTGAAAATTTGTGTGCTTTTGTTCAACATTTTTGGTTTTTAGGTTTAATGTAGGTCATTCAGACTACTAGTATGTTGTAGTACGTTTAATGTAAGTGAATTATTCGGACTACTAGTATATGGCAGTAGGTTTAAAGTGGGCGAGTTATTCGGACTACTAGTATATGGTAGTAGGTTTAATATAGGTGAGTTATATGGACTACTAGTATGTGGTGGTAGGTTTAATGTAGGTGAGTTATTCAGACTACTAGTATGTGATAGTGGGTTTAAAGTAGACGAGTTATTCAGAGTACTATTATATGGTAGTAGGTTTAATGCAGGTGAGTTATTAAGACCACTAGTATGTGGTAGTAGGTTTAATGTAGGTGAGTTATTAAGACTACTAGTATATGGTAGTAGGTTTAATGTAGGTGAGTTATTCGGACTATTAGTATATGGTAGTAGGTTTAATGTAGGTGAGTTGTTAATACTACTAGTATATGGTAGTAGATTTAATGTAGGTGAGTTATTCGGACTACTAGTATGTGGTAGTGGGTTTAATGTAGGTGAGTTATTCAGACTACTAGTATGTGATAGTGGGTTTAATGTAGACGAGTTATTGGGACTACTAATATGTGGTAGTGGGTTCAATGTAGGTGAGCTATTCAGACTACAAGTATGTGGTAGTAGGTTTAATATAGGTGAGGTATGTGGAATACTAGTATGTGGTAGTGGGTTTAATGTAGGTGAGTTATTGGGACTACTAGTATGTGGTAGTGGATTTAATGTAGGTGAGTTATTCAGACTACTAGTATATTGTAGTAGGTTTAATCTAGTTGAGTTAATAAGATTACTAGTATGTGATAGTAGGTTTAATGTAGATGAGTTATTCGGACTACTAGTATGTGATAGTAGGTTTAATCTAGGTGAGTTATTCAGACTACTAGTATCTGGTAGTTGGTTTAATGTAGGTGAGTTATTCGGACTACTAGTATGTGATAGTAGGTTTAATCTAGGTGAGTTATTCAGACTACTAGTATATGGAAGTTGGTTTAATGTAGGTGAGTTATTAAGACTACTAGTATGTGGTAGTAGGTTTAATCTAGGTGAGTTATTCGGACTACTAGTATGTGGTAGTGGGTTTAATGCAGATGAGTTATTCAGACTACTAGTATATGGTTGTTGGTTTAATGTAGGTGGGTTATTAAGACTACTAGTATGTGGTAGTAGGTTTAATCTAGGTGAGTTATTCAGACTACTAGTATGTGGTAGTAGGTTTAATGTAGGTGAGTTATTCAGACTACTAGTATGTGGTAGTAGGTTTAATGTAAGTGAGTTATTCGGACTATTAGTATATGGTAGTGGGTTTAATATAGGTGAGGTATGCGGAATACTAGTATATGGTAGTAGGTTTAATGTAGGTGAGATATTCAGACTACTAGTATGTGGTAGTAGGTTTAATGTAGGTGAGTTATTCAGACTACTAGTATGTGGTAGTAGGTTTAATCTAGGTGAGTTATTCAGATTACTAGTATGTGGTAGTAGGTTTAATGTAGGTGAGTTATTCAGACTACTAGTATGTGGTAGTAGGTTTAATGTAGGCGAGTTATTCGGACTATTAGTATATTGTAGTGGGTTTAATGTAGGTGAGTTATTCGGACTATTAGTATATGGTAGTAGGTTTAATGTAGGTGAGTTATTAATACTACTAGTATATGGTAGTAGGTTTAATGTATGTGAGTTATTTGGACTATTAGTATATGGTAGTGGGTTTAATGTAGGTGAGTTATTCGGACTATTAGTATATGGTAGTTGGTTTAATGTAGGTGAGTTATTAAGACTACTAGTATGTGGAAGTAGGTTTAATCTAGGTGAGTTATTCAGACTACTAGTATGTGGTAGTAGGTGTAATGTAGGTGAGTTATTCAAAATACTAGTATGTGGTAGTAGGTTTAATGTAGGTGAGTTATTCGGACTATTAGTATATGGTAGTGGGTTCAATGTAGGTGAGTTATTCAGACTACTAGTATGTGGTAGTAGGTTTAATATAGGTGAGTTATGTGGAATACTAGTATATGGTAGTAGGTTTAATGTAGGTGAGATATTCAGACTACTAGTATGATGTAGTAGGTTTAATGTAGGTGAGTTATTCAGACTACTAGTATGTGGTAGTAGGTTTAATGTAGGTGAGTTATTCAGACTACTAGTATGTGGTAGTAGGTTTAATGTAGGCGAGTTATTCGGACTATTAGTATATGGTAGTGGGTTTAATGTAGGTGAGTTATTCGGACTATTAGTATATGGTAGTAGGTTTAATGCAGGTGAGTTGTTAATACTACTAGTATATTGTAGTAGGTTTAATGTAGGTGAGTTATTTGGACTATTAGTATATGGTAGTGGGTTTAATGTAGGTGAGTTATTTGGACTACTAGTATATGGTAGTAGGTTTAATGTATTTGAGTTATTCGGACTATTAGTATATGGTAGTAGGTTTAATGTAGGTGAGTTATTAATACTACTAGTATATGGTAGTAGGTTTAATGTAGGTGAGTTATTTGGACTATTAGTATATGGTAGTGGGTTTAATGTAGGTGAGTTATTCGGACTATTAGTATATGGTAGTAGGTTTAATGTAGGTGAGTTATTAATACTACTAGTATATGGTAGTAGGTTTAATGTAGGTGAGTTATTTGGACTATTAGTATATGGTAGTGGGTTTAATGTAGGTGAGTTATTAGGACTATTAGTATATGGTAGTAGGTTTAATGTAGGTGAGTTATTTGGACTACTAGTATATGGTAGTGGGTTTAATGTAGGTGAGTTATTCAGACTACTAGTATATGGTAGTAGGTTTAATGTAGGTGAGTTATTAAGACTACTAGTATGTGGTAGTAGGTTTAATCTACGGTTAGGTATTCAGACTACTAGTATGTGGTAGTAGGTTTAATGTAGGTGAGTTATTCGGACTATTAGTATATGGTAGTGGGT